AACTCTACCAAAAGCACCCATCTTCACAAATATGTGTGTGTCTATGGAAAAGGGATTAATGATGAGAAGAGATTGAGGAAAGAGCAAGCACAGAAACAGAGGAAATTGGGCGACAAAGAGAAAAGTTAGGTGGGCGAGTTATTTATAAGGGTAAAGATTGAATTCCTGAAGGGTGACTTGTAAACGAGGGAGTCAAGTGGTGGGCGTGATGACCGGATCTTGGAACTAAGGGGATTAAGTTTGGGAGGGGTGGGGGGTCTTTTGACCGTTTCATTGAGGGCCCTTCGTGCCGTAAATGCTACCGGACCCAATTGAATCCCGATATTTAGAAGAGGGATTTACAGCCAGGCCGGTATTTAAGATTCGATTTTCATAATTCTAATTTTAAGTTTGATATTTTACTAATCAGGTTTTAAGGAAATAAAAATATATTTTTTTATTTTTAATAACCACCCCTTTTTTACGTGAAGATTGGAGAGAGAGAGTTTTAATTAAGTAAACTATATCTTTCATAACTGTCTAGAACCGCTAAACACCTTAAGTCTCGTCCCTTCCTAAAAATCCTAAATTGGTTCTTACCCAAACCATATCATTCTTCATTTTGAAATCAAAAGAAACCCCCAATATTGAATATTGTCTACATTACCCACATGTGGAAGTTAAGGCGGTGTTACTGTGAAGGTCATTCAAAGAAGGGAATGAGGTGAAAGAGACTTGTGTTTTTTTTTTTTGCGGACGGTGTGTAGAAGTTATAGTGTTAACGTGAAGTTGTGACTGGAAGGTACGTTCCGACGCCGGTGAACCCTCTGAAATCGCACAACGCAGCAAGGGAAGGGCGAATGTGGCGAAGGAGTGTCGTGAAGAAAAATTGAACATCCCTAGTAAATCGCGACCGAACTTGGAGAAGAGAGCTCGCAAGGATAACCCTAGAACTCCTATAAACCCTTGAAGATCGAATCCGATTAATGTAAGTCTTTTTTTGTTCACATAATGAATCTTGTTTTGTTGATTGTGACCTACTTTTTCTAGATTGTGACCCAATAATCATGTTCCTGGATTTTTTTGGATTGTGACCCAAAGGTCACAATTCTTCTTTACTGTGGCATTTTTTTTCTGATGAACATTGGGTCACAATCCTTCGATGTGCATAGTTATTGATGTATGTATAATGTTCGTTATTCATGTATTATGACCCAGGAATGGAAATACATTATACCAGAGGATTCGTGGTTTCCTCGGAAGATTACAACAAATGTGGTAAAAAACGTATTGACGAATTTCACATCAAAGTTCAATGCGGTTCAAAGGTCTATTCTGGCATAAACTTGCTTATCACATTTCTTGGAATGTAATGAAATTATTCTGCAGCCACACCTTATGCATTATTTTTTGATGAGGGAAGTGTTGCAACCTAATCCAAATGAGATGTGGTTCAAAGTTGCCAATAGATTTTTGAGATATTCGGTGTGTGAATTTTGTTTTGTCACAGGGCTTAGATGTTGTGGTGACGATTTTAAGAAAGAAGTTGACAAGGTTCCGTCTAGGATGAAGGATACATATTTTGGGCACTTGAAGTTAGTGACTAATGAGGATGTGAGGGATGTGTTTTTTTTGTGAATGTGTCGGATGTTGACGATCATGATGTTGTGAGGAATGTGATTTTATATTTGATTATGTTATATCTATTTTTCACATCTTACAAAAAAGTGGTTGAAAATTTTTTGTTTACATTGGTTGAGGACTTTGGTCTTATGGAGATGTTTCCTTTTGGGAATGACTTATTTCAAATGTCTCTAAAATCTTTGAAGGAGGGTTTAAGTCACAGGAATCAACATTATAGGTTGAAGGGTTTCTTGNATGGAGATGTTTCCTTTTGGGAATGACTTATTTCAAATGTCTCTAAAATCTTTGAAGGAGGGTTTAAGTCACAAGAATCCACATTATAGGTTGAAGGGTTGCTTGGTTGCATTTCAAGTGTGGATATATGAGTGTATTCCTAGACTAACTGGTCTTGTGATGAGTAGGATGGGTAACAGTTATCCCCGTATTGTGAACTGGATGTCGGAGAAACAGTCGTCTGCTGTTAAGTTAGAAGAAGATGTCTTCTCCACTCATGATGTAAGTTGTTTATCCCTTTTTTAACACAGGTCACAAAGTCACAGAATTGTTTAAATAAGTCACAAGCAACTGTATAAGAATGCATAGATCACACACTTGTCCCTTCACATGTACTAATTTCAGTATTCCCAAGTCACAATGCATTTTATTGCATGTGGGGTCTACACCACTAACATATGATTCATGTGCATTCTTGTCACAGCTTGAAATTTGTTTTGTTGTTCCGTCTGACATGGAGTTGGAGGCTCAATATATGAATGGTGTTTAGTACACCAAACCTATGCAACCATGTGCTCATGGAGATTGGACCAACAAAGACTCAGGCTCAACTGCTGGCACATCCCATACTCAGTTGCTNTCTGACATGGAGTTGGAGGCTCAATATATGAATGGTGCGTTGTACACCAAACCTATGCAACCTCGTGTTCATGGAGTTTGGAGGTTTAAAGGTTCAGGCTCAAGTGCTAGTACATCCCATTCATGTTTGCTGATGATTACATGTGGCAGGAAGGGACACTCCAGTGCTGGTGATGATGACGACGACGACTTTATGGTTCCACCTCCCAAAAAACAGAGGATGCCAACTGTGTACATATCCTCCGATGAAGAGCGGGCAAGTGAGCGACAGTCAGGACAAAGTGAGCGTGATGAAGCTTACGAAAATGTTAATATGATGCCACAGGCAAGTGAAGGTTGTCTGCCGAGTGATCCCATGCCGACACGAGCACATAATGCACATCCAACAGATGTAAGTTGATTAATGTCCACGTGTTAAGTCACAAATCAGTTGTTATTCTTTCCTGTCCTTGTCGATAACAAGTTCATTCTGGGATTGTGTGTATGTACAGGT